TGTGTAGAACTGAGGGGCTACTGCCTCATTTTACAAATGGGGAAACTGAGGCCCAGAAGCCAGCAGTAACACAGTAAGACACCAGCCAAGACTGAGACCTGGGACTCCTTCCTCTCATGGCCGGGACTTCAGCCCAGCTCCCCGCCCCGGAGGACCGGACCCTCGGGCAGTGTGGGGCAGTGACGGTGCCAACAGCTTCCCTCTGGCACACAGGGCCCCTCCCTCGGGGCTGCCCATGACCCTGGGGACCATGCTGACTCCGTCCCCTCGTCCTCCCTCGCCACAAAGACCGGCCTGGTGGCTTCCCAAGCCCCTGGCCCCCATTTCTCAACCTGGAGGGGACGACAGCATGTCCACCCGCAGGACAGCCCAGAGTGAGGCCTGGAGGGGCAGAAGGGACGGACCAGCCACCGCCCCAGATGGCCAGCGCAGGCGTGCGGTCACTCTTTGGCCCCCTCGCTGTCCTCTTTCCCCAACTTTCCATCCTGGAGCTCTGCCTCCTCGGCCCCATTCTGTCTCTCTGCCTGAATTTCGGGCAGGAGGCCCAGGTTGATCAAATTTTTGTTTATGGACACAGCCACTCCGCTGCTGCTTTCCTAAGACACTCTCCAAAATCAAGCCCTAGGACCTAAGGGTGCGAGCACCCCCAGGGTCCCGCGGGCAGGACGGCTGGTCAAGCGCGTCACTGCGGGGCCACGGCGGCCTGGGGCTCCCCGCACACAAGGGCAAGGGGCTCGCCTCGGCCCGGCAGGGAACACACACACACTCCATTGCAGGGGAAGGTAATTGAGGTTTTCTTCTTTTCATCTGAAGAAAAGGCACCTTCCATTGAAAGAGCGCATTCACAGAACCTGGGAAAACTCATCTGCACTCAGCCCTCCCAATTATCCCCAGGTGGCTGTTCCCCATGGGGGGCTCCCCACATTCCTTTCTGCCTGCGCCTTTGTTTCCATCTGAAATGGCCCTGGGAGCTCCCAGGCTAAGAGTCTCCTCCTTAAGCCCCTGCCAAAGGCCCTATTCACTGCTCACAGAGAAGGCCAGCAAGAGGGGGTGCGGCCCTCCTCTCTCCCAGGCGAGGGCAGTTAAGAACTCTCCATCTGAATTTTTTTGTAAGCCAAAGAAATCGGAGAGCAATTAGGAAAGTCATGACTGCCCTCCACCACCGTCCTCTCCCCTAATTAACTGCTCTCTCACACACATGCCCCGAATGTTGGGAGACCTACCCCCACCTCAGTTACGCGGCCCTGCTCTGCACGGCCCCCCACAACCACCAGGGACCTGGTGGGGAAGGGAGCTGGGATGACAGAGAAATGTCTAGAGACCTCACGACATCAGCTCTGAGATCCCCTGGTCAGAGTGACCCCCGATGTCCAGAGCAAGGGCTGAGGCCCCGGCCCTGGCCTCAGGACCCAACTCAAATCCAGAGGCCACTAGAACTTCCAGGATCTATGGGCGCCCCAAGGATGGGCCCCTCGGGTGCCAACCCTTGCCCTGGCACAGATAAATAGTCTCTCCATGCGGCCAGAGCCAGCCGAACTCGGGACCTGTTTCCTGGCGCTGTCCTGTCCTGCAGCAGTGCCCGGGGGGCACCCGGGAGGGTCGTCATCAGGGGCAGGTCTCCTGTTCCCCTCGGGTGCCCGAGGTCTCCCTCCACTCCCACCTTTCCTGGCTCTAAAGCCCTGACCCACGCCCCGCCAGGGAGGCAAGCCTGCCTCTGCAGCACCCCTTCCCTCGGCCTCCCTGAAGAACCCACAGGCAGCCGAGGCTGGGGACTGCCCCATTTGGACCAGGCGCCCCAGGGAGACCCCTCCCTACCCTACACTTGTCCCTCCTTTTCAAACTGGAAACCCCACTCTTGAGGTGGCCTCATTTGGAAAGGTACAACTCCTTTCCAGAATTTTCCATTTGCTCAAATCCAGAATGGGAGATCAAGCTAGACGTCCTTATGCCTCCTTCAGGAGAGGGGACAGGGCTCTGAGCAGAAGAGGGGAGGGGGACGAGTCCTTGGGACATATTCACAACTCGTTAAATTCTAGTCTCCTAAAAAGAAAATGCTCCCAGCGACCCAGGGCTTTCCCAGTGCAGCCGACAATGCTGGTTTCTACATTGTCCACTGCCCTTTAACCCCCTGGGACCTTAATTTGTCCCCCTCTACACCCCTTCTGTGTAAAGCTCCCTTCCTCTTTTCAAGGAAAAATTCATTACCGAGCTCATTAAAGACGGGTAGATTTTTTTTTTTTCATTCTTTCTGGAAGTCAGATTGCTCATAAAAAACACATTTAAGTTACTTCATGTAAATGAACGAATAAGAAACACATGCATCCTGTTGCCCTTAAGTCTTGCCAGGTTTTGACATGATTTGGAGAAACATAGTTGGAAATACATTTGGGGTTTGAATCACAACTCGGGAGGCAGGAGGTCAGGGGCCCCGAGAGCTGCAACGAGCAACTCGCAGGTGGCAGAACACAGGGCTGAGTGAGGGGCCACTTTGTTCCCCTCCAAGAGTGGAGCCTGACCTACACTCTTGGTCCCCTCTCCCCACCGGATGGGAGGGGACAGGCTTTCAGACAAGCCCACCCGCCCTTCCCTGACATCTGTGCCCACCCGAAGCGTCCAGCTAGAGGCTACATCCCCAGGGGAACTGCTCAGCACCATGACAAATGGCCGGAGACCCCTTCCCTGCCACTGGGGTGACAGGGTCCTCCGTGCCCCACTGCCTGGCCAGCCAAGGCCTCGTTTCCACCCCTTGTCACTCAGGGATTGGCCAATCCATCAAAAAAGAATTTTCCTGAAAATGGTAATTTCTTTCAACACTTAATAACGGCCTTTCTGCAATTCCTGACATGATCACCTGCGAGGCTGATGTATCTTGTTCTGTTTTAACTTCTTTAATGGAGAACTTGTTATGTTTTGTTTTGTTTCTAAATTTATTATCATATTTTTTACATATTTTATTTTACCGTTGAGTGAGCACGTGGACAGCGTGGAGAACTTGTTATGTTTTTACCTACGTTCTACCTAATGACACACAAAACCCCAGACACGTATGTGCCTGACGTTGGCGTAGAATGGCGGGCGTGGCTGCCCCATGTGTGCCTGAGACCCAGCGCTCTCGAGGGAGCACCTCACAGCCCCATTCCTGACTCCGGGGACAGTGGGGGGATGCCTAGGTGTGGTGCTGTCCGGGGTGGCTGGGCAGAGGGGCTTCCTGGACCCCACCTGCTGGGCCTTGCCTTGGCCTTCACGTTGAAGCCCCAGGGCTCAGCCCGCCTTGTGAGAGCCCCACACGCCCCGAGGAGGGAGTCCAGCAGCCCAGGGCGTCTGGCGCAGACGCCTTCCCGTAAGCTCCTCTGATCCCCCCGGGGTCCAGCATCCTGCCCTGTGTAAAGCCCCTCCCGGCCTCTCCCGCACGCCACTGTGTTTGCAGGTGGCTCAGCAAATGCTAGCGTGGAGTAAATGTCACAGTGCAGAGCCGTCCTGGGTCCCTCCCTGGAGCTAGCCCTGGGCACACACCCCCCCCAGGCTGTGGGGCTCTCCAGGGAGCCAGAACAAGCAGACAAAGGCAACAGCCCCCGCGTGGGTCCCTCTGCCCCTCTGCCTGCACTGACAGATTGTGTTTAAAAACAATATCCCCCTCCCATTTCCACTTCAGGGGAGAAGGGCAGGGCTGCAGAAGAGCCATCTCCGAATCCTCTGTTTGATTAAAGAGCAAGATGGAGGCTGCGCCGGCACCCAGAGCCTCCAAGGGGAGGGCGGGGATCCGGCCCCGGCATGGGGCTCTGTTCGCCAGCTTCCTCTCCCAGAGACCCCACGTGTGGGTGTCAAGGGGGCAGTGCTGGCTTCGGGGCCAAGGACGGTGCTGGGGCCCCCTCGAGGCTCCCTAAATGGCTGGGGGATTGAGTCAGCTTCCCCCCACCTCCCCGGCCTTTCCCATCTCCCACCTGCACCCTGGGCAGTTTAGCTGATCCACCCTAACGGCCACCCCGGGGCATCAGGTAGGAGGGGTGCCAGTGCCCGGCCTCACGGGGCCGCCAGCTCTGAAAACCCCCCATTGTCCCTGCGTGAGCCATGGGCTGAGCCCCTGGACCCCCAGAAAGGAAGGTGTCCACAGCTGAGCCCCCTCTCTTCCTGCCCTCCCAGCTGTCACCCCCGGGGCCGGGCAGAACTGGAGGCCCCTGCCTTCCGCACCACCGGGCCTGGCCAGCATGTGCATCTCACTGCTGCTCAGAACATCCAGGGCACCCAGCTGGACCCTCTGATCCTAACGCAAAGCCTGGGCTTAGGCAGCCCAGAGCAGCCCCGCCCCTGAGCTGGGACGGCTCTGTGAGCGCATCTAGGATAAGTAAACCACAAATAAACCCACAAGCAAACAAACGAGGAGTGCTCGAGTGAATCATGTGGCTCCAATCCTCTGCCTTCTTGTCTACCATCGCTGATTTTATTTAAACAAACAAGAACATTCCCATCTCATTGCAATTTCAGGGGTGAGGAAAAGAGGCCAAAAGAAGAACTCACTCAAAAACCGCTATTTGATTGGAGGACATTATCAAAGCCGCATGTGTGAGAAGAAACCGCTGTTCTGGCGGGGCGTCGCTGCGTGGCGGGCGGGGTGGGGGCATGCTTCCCTAGCTGCGGACAGACACGGGTGGTCCCCATGTCCCCACTCTGCGTGGGCCGGGCGGGCAGGGCAGACGCACCCTGGCTCCCTTCCTTTAGTGTGTTCGGCAAAGTTCTCCTGAGGCCCTACTGTGTGCCTGGCCCTTCCCCACTTACCGTCGTGGGCTAGTGGCCCGTGGCCAGCCGGGTGGCCCTCACGCGCTGGCTCGGTGTGGCTACGGTCCCCGCTCCAGGCAGCTTCCAGGTCCCCAGGTTGACACAGAAGAGGAGTCACCTTGGTGGGCTGCCCCTCCCAAACTACATGTGTTTGTGTTCGTGAACAGAGAGGTGTCATGGGCTGCCCCTAATGAAACTGTGGTGTCACAAGAAAGCAAGAGACTCACCCGGAGCCAGGAAGGAACGAAGGGGCAGCAGGAGGAAGGGCTGGGTCCAGAGCGGGGTCCTCGCCGCGGGGCTCTTCTTCCACCGCAGGTCTTCAGCCGGGGGACGCCGGAGCCGGCCTTGGGGAGGGCCAGAGAGTTAGTATCACAGCAAGGCAATCACCACAGAAAAGTCAGACACCCCACAAGGACACGGCGCAGTCTCACCTGCAGTTGGCTTTTCGGTGGAGTGGGTGTCCTGTGTGGGGTGCGCAAGGACGGGAGCAGGTGCGAGAAGAGCAACAGGCCCAGGTGGCAGCCCTCAACCCAACACTGAGGATGCAGCAAGGCACCTGGCCAGGGAGAGCCCAGACTCTCAGGGACATGGTGGCAGTATGGGCAGGCTGGGGACAACACCCACCTGGGCACGATGGCATGGGGCCCCGGGCAAGGGGGGGGCGGGATGTTCGTCTGGCTACAGCCCATGGGAGGAGGATTTGAGGACGGTTAGAGGGAGACAGAGACACCAAGGGGCTTGTCCCAGGGACCTGGGGGACCCACTGGAAACTGGGCACTGAGGGGAGTGGCTACTGGGGCTGGGGAGGGGAGCTCGGAGCAGTGGCAGAGAAAAGGCGGCAGACAGGGCCAGGAAACGCAAGTGTGAGCTGGGCAAGGAAGACCCGCCTGCTAGGCAGAGGACCGGGCAGGTGACCCCAGAGGGTCAGGAGCCCAGGGCTCCAGGCAGAGAAGGGGTGGGACGGGCCAGGACTGCAAAGAAGCAAGCAGAGTCCAGGTGGGTAACTGGCCTGGCCACCAGGTAGAGTGGAGCAGAGAGGCGGCCTGGCAGAGGGAAAACCTGCACATGCTACCTGGAGGTTCCCAGCCGCTGTCTTTGCATGGGACAGACCCCAGCCAGCGACCAAAGGGCAAAGGAGCCAGATTTAGCCCCAGGGGGAGGACGGAATTACCAGAGGGAGAGGTCCCAGTCACAGACCCCACCTCAAGAGGGAGACCCTTGTGGCCAAAGCCCGGGACACAGACCACTGCTGTTCCCACCTCAGTCCTGAGAGCGTCAAGGCCAGGACAGCTCAGCTACGGGGATGGGGTGGGGACGCCGAGGGGGGAGGGGCTAGCTCCAACCAGGGACTGAGGACCCTAGTTCCTCTAGGGTTTGAATAAAAGGTCCCAGAAGGAGGCCGGCCCTTCGCACTGCTGGCCTGCCCTCTACAGAGCAGGAGTCCCCCGCTGGGCACCTGGGAAGCCCCTGAGGCTGCCCCAGGCTGAAGCAACCCCCCGGCCCGCCCCCCCTGGGGAAGCAGAGGCCATCCAGGGCAGGCTAGGGTGGCAGGTGCCCAGGCTGGGCCACGGCGGTGGGCTAGCTCAGTGAGGATCAACTGTTGGATGACGGGGTGGACGCGCGGGGGAGCGCGGGGACGCGACCGCAAGGCCACACCAAACGTGGCTGGGGGAAGCTGCCGACGCCCTTCTTGAGTGGAAGGAAACCACCCCCTAGCCTAGAGCTCCCACGATGCCCACCTGGCTGCTCAGGAGTGGCAGCCGAGTCCCTGCAGTTCGCTCGCCTGCCCAAGCAGACATCCCACATACTCTCACTGAGCCCCACGCTATGCCAGGCTGGCGCTGGGACACCCAGAGGAGGGGCAGGGCTGGCCTAGGGCTCCCTAAGAGGGCCGACTGGGAAGGGGGGAAGGGGGAGACAGAGGGAGAGGAGAGAGGACAGAGGAGGTGCAGGGGGAGGCCAGTAAGTGCAGAAGGGACAGTAACTCTTGGAAGAATTGGGTGGTGGGGACATTTCCTGGCCACAGTCCTTTCCCGTCTGGTTTGCGCTGTGTACCCTGTTCTCTCCTGCCCTTCCAGGGTCTACCTGATGGATGTTAAAGGGGTCGACAGGCAAACTAAGGAAGCAGCCAGGACCCTGGATGGAAAAGCAGAGGTGGGGGCAGGGAGCCCTGAGCACAGGGACAGGGAGCTATGTCCCTCCCCCCTACACTCAAGGGAGCACTGGGTTCCCAGCCCTATGCTGGTGGCCTTAGAAAAGTTTAAGAAACCCCTCTAGCCCGGGCAATAGAGTGAGACTCTGTCTCAAAAAAGAAAAAAGAAAAAAAGAAAAGAAACCCAAGCAGGTGTGGAGGGGGACTGGGAGCCTCTGTCGGGGTTCCAGGAGCCTTGGGCACAAAACCCAAAGACCCTGGAAGATCCTGGCTGACTGAGGTCATCCACACCCTCCCCAGGTTCCCAAATGTCCACAGGGGCTACTAGAATATTAATCATGGCTTTGGGGCCTGCATTTTAATTATTGGTATGTATTTGAGGATGAGGAGGGTCCCGAGCATCCTTCTTTTCTAATGAAAAAAAAAGTCCTGTCATGCCCTAGTCCCAACGGGGTGGGACATCTCTGTCCTTGGCAGTCTCCCCTCCACAAAGGGGGCGGAGGTGGCCCCCATCAGCCAACTGGACAAACGCCAGCACTCTTTATGGAGGGGCTGGGGTAGAGTTGGTTTTGCTAACTCAGAAAGAACGTCCAATTCTGATCCATGGTGCCAGCGAACCTTTAGCCAACAGATTCATCAGGGAGGGAGGCCCCTTAACATTTTAACTAATAACATTTTCTCGTTCCAAATACCACCCTTCTCCCCTAGTTTTCTTCCATTTGGCTAAAGGTCTGGCTGGATCCTAAAGTTTAATTGGAGTGATCTAATCATGATTGATCCGCCCTGGGGTGAGAGACGTCCAGAGCTTGGGAGAAATAAGGGCAAGTTTCAGACCAGGGCACACCTGCTCTAAAGACATTACCCGGCCCTCGGGGGTTCAGGGATCAGGAAAGAAACACAAAGGGATCAGATTCGGGCAGGGTGCAGCACACGTGGGGGAGGCAGAATTAAGGGGCCGAGAGAATAACTACAAATCCTGATGCCGGGATGTAAGTTTTAATCTCCCTCTTGGCTGATGGACCCTGACAAGCCACCAAGTCCCAATCTCATCAGTATGCTGGAGCCACGAGTGACCCCCAAACCGTGCCCTTCCACAGGGGGGTGTCAACATCTACCCACTCCTCACCCTGGGCGGGACACTCCCCGGGTATTGCCCTGGTGCTCGCTGTGGGTGCGCTGTGGGTGGTCTCAGGGGGCCCTGGAGCTGGGAGGGAGGCAAGAGCTGGGAACTGGTCACTAGTGGACCCCCCACCCCCGCCCTCGGCCCTTGTGGAGAGAGAATGAATGCCCTGGCCGGTTGCAGCGAACAAAGGAACTTCCTGCAATGCAACCCTAGCTGCTGCCCTGCGTCCCAAAGCTGCCTTCAACTTTCAACCCCACTCAATGGACCCCGCGCTGAGACACGCAGAGACCGAGATGAGGAGCAAAAGGACGTCAGCGCGACACCAAAATTGGAAGTGTGGCTTAAGCACCCGCTAGCCCCTGCCCTGGGTGGCCAGTTCACCTCATTATGATAATCAGTGTGTTTTTCCTTCGCAGACAAAGGAGGCTCCTTACAGAGGAATATTGGAAGCCAGCAGCTACCTCATTAGCGTCTGCAGCCTCCTCTGCAGCCTCTTCCTTCGACAAGGCCCAAGATTAGCCCTGTGTTCATTAAGGGAAAAGGGCGGAAAGTGGAATAAAACTGAAAAACACAGCTGGGGGGCGGAGGGCGGCTCTTTTCTGCTGGCCATTCATTCACTGAAACACTTTGTGCACCTTGGGGATTTAATCACCAGAGAGGGGGCATGGGGTGGGGGACAGAGCCTACCAGGTTAAACTTGATGGAAGCAGTTAAAAACCCAAAATGGGGCGATTTGATTTGAAAGCTTCCTGGGATTTGTCATTGGGATAATCAATGTAAAACCTTCTTCCTGTTTGCTGTCTTTTAGTCCAGACTAAAGTAAGAGGAAACCTTTTGTCTGGGTGCGTTTTTGGTGTATTTTAATATTTTTTCTAAGTCTCCCTCTCCTACTTTTGTTTTTGCCTTTAATGCCTTTTTTTTAAATTATTCTTTTCTCCGGTCCTACATCTCCATCCCCCTCCACTTCTTTCTTCTCTCTTTGGTCCTCCCGTGGGAACTGGATGTATAAGAACGTCCAGCAGTGACTCCAGCTGTATTTTCTCATGGCTACTTTATTGACTTTATTTCAAGTCCTTCAAATAGCATCTGGTGCTTACCTGTGGGAGATCTCACCTGACCTGCCAAGTAAAGATTATTAACAATAATTTGCAACTGAGATAAAGGTGGTTTGGGAAAGCTGACCTACCCCAAGTTCTTGGAAGCTTAACCAGGACTCTAACCCAGGCCAACCGACATCTGAGCGCTTAAGTCTGAGCGCTTAAGGCAGCGTGGCAAGATGGCAGGAGGCAGGTTCCAGAGGTGGGAAGACCTGGGTGGCAGTTCCTGGGGGGTGCCGGGAGAGAAGGAGTGAGCAGCAGGTGTCCTTCCCTGTCACGCCTGGGGGAGTGTGTGCAAACAGAAGCAAACTGGAGCCACAAGGCCATGAGAGAGAAGGCATGGAAACGTGTCTGTGTGTCCGTGTGTCTGTGAGCCGGAAACATGTCAAGAGTTAAGCGAGAGAAAAGTCTTTACCTTAGTGAGAGCCCTTCGACGGAGCAGAGCGAGTCAGGAGGCAGTGGGTTGAAGAGGAAATTGGAGGTGAGGAAGGAAGACAGCAAGTGGAGAGAAGACGGTCAAGAAGCTGGGCTGGAAAGGAAAGACAGAGACTGTGGTGGCTAGAAAGGATGGCATGGGGACCCTGGGGTCTCCAGGCTGCGGAGACAGCAAAGTCAGAAACACAGAGGGAGGCCGGGGGACAGAGAGAGGCCCTCTTCTAAAACTTAAGATGCAATGGGCTGCCATGGGACAGTGGGCCCGACCTGCAGAGCCGCTGGACAACCTCTGCTTCCCTGGGAGGTGGCAGGCCGGCCCTGCAGTCAGGACAGGGATTTGTGAGGATCAAATGAATGGCTGATTGCAAACAAGTGCTCTGCAAACTGCAAAGGGTGACCTAACCACTCGCTACCATTACTCACTGGTAGCAGGAATCTCACTGGGGCCTGGATTTTTACTGGCCATAAATTATTCCGTCCTTAACATTAAGGATGTAAAAACCAGTGGTAAAAGCTCCTGTCAGTCTCTGGAAGACAAAAGGTCTCCTCCTAATAGCCTGGATTAACTCAAAGCGGGTCTCCGCCCACTTCATTTGTCACCTTCCAAGTCATCCTAGCACCTCCATTTGCCACATAATCCAATCAGCCCTTTTCAGATGCCAGAGGCTATTGTCTACACCAAGCTGGGCTTCTCTAAAGAGGCCTCAGTTGTTTTTGTCTTGTCCGGACAAAACTGGTTGGCTTGAAAGGGGACGAAAGAAAGTGCTGGTCAAATGAGGACCCCAATTAGCTTCCGAGAGACTGTTTTCATTATCTTTGTATCACATACCTAGCCTGGTGCACTGGGCACATTGTTGGTGCTCCAGAAAATGTTTGTTGAATTAATTGGTTTTTATTTCTTCTTCAATTTATTTATTGAGCACACATGGACATAGCACCTACTGGGTGCTAACTGCTATTACTGGGGGAGAATAGAGCTGGACATGTGAACAATGAGGGGCAAGCTCGGGTATTTAAGTATCTTGCAATTTCCACAGCAATTTAAAGAGCACTTTCACAGTAGTTACATCTTTTGGTCTCCAAAAGCACCCTGTGGGGTGGATAAACGTGGGTGTTGTTTTTTTTTTTTTTAATCCCCATTTAGACCATGAAAGGAACTGAAACTTGGAGAAGTTAAGCAACTTATTTAAGGTCACACCATTATTAAGAGGTGAAGCCAGCGCATGGTACCAGCACTGGGGCCACCCAGATCCCTAAGACCACCCGAGGCAGCTGAGATTTCAAACAGACTGTCCCACTGTCAAATGTTAGATTTAAAATAAAAGGGTTCTTAGTATAACTCTGGGCCGGGGGTGACAGGGGGTTAGGGGCAGCTACAATGAGTGCAGGGCTCAACCCTGGCCCCTCTCTTTCCAGCAATGTGACAAAACACTCACATCCCCCCAGCGGCAGTTTCCTTACCATAAAGGTAAATAAGTCCTACCCCCAGGGGACAGGGCACTCACTTCTCACGGGCCCTCTTTCCCACTCACCTTTTTAAATTGTGGAAATCATTACCAAAGTCACCCTCACGTGGAAATGAGGCTGCCTCACTTCCATACAAATACTACACAGCAATAACACATTCATATCACAGAGCAAGTGCTCTGGAAATGGCTACATGCGTCACTGGTGTTCTTACTCAGGTCAGCCCGACGGCCACGGTGCAAGGGGAGCCCCGGGGACACGGCCGTCTGGAGTGCTGCTGTTGGAAAATAAATAAGACGCGTGAGAGAGGGGTGGGAGCGGTGGGAATCACTGACCTGCCAACCTTTCAACAAACATTTCCTGACCAGGCCCTGCCTGAGGCTGTTCGATCTCATTTAATTCTCACAACAACCCTAGGAGGTTGCTCCTGTGGCCCCCATTCCCCAGAAAAGGACAGGGAGATCTCAGAAGGGGTGGAGCATGCCTTTGGTGGTTTAGTAACATGCTGACTGCAGACACCCACCCAGGGGCTTGGAACTGCCAGGGAGAAGCGGGTCAAGCCCTTGGCCCAGGTCCCCCTCCTGAGAAAATTCCAAAAGGATCCTTCAATTCAGGACGTTGTGAGGGCAACAAGAGCCAGTCGAGAAAGACTGACACCCCCTTGGGGAGGGAAACACTCCAGTTGGCTAGCAGGTTAACAAAAGCAGACAGGTACAGGAAAGTAGAGAGTCAAGGCATAAGCATAGCAAAGGTCAGGGGTTAACGACCAATGCCCCCTCACTAGGGCATTGGTTTAAGTCTTTAGCCAAGAGGGACAGCAGGCTGGTCAGTTCTGGTCCTCTTCATCCTCCGCTGTCCTGGTCCTGGGGGTCTGCTGGTGGCTGCTTTGTATGCTGATGGAATCCAGGAATCTGTGCTCCTAGTTCTGCAATTGATCAAAGGTTAGAGGGCCCACTTAAAAGCCCACGTATGTACACATTAACTACAATTTAAACTAATTAATTAAAATTAAAGCTAATTAGTTAAAATGTTAAATTGTCTTTTAATTGCAAATGGGTCTGGGGGTGGTGCAAGGCCAGTGGCAGGGTTGGGGGATTCCACCCACCACGTTGTAGATGAAATGCCACAAGGAGGGGCGGATGTACCACAATGCGTAAATCAGCAGCAGGCACCTTGGCAGCAGCTTGGCATCAAGAGTGGGTGGTCTTCAAAGATGATGAGGTGACCAGATGACGTCATTCCTGAAGAGAGACCCTATAGCATGGGAGGGGGCCAAATCAGAAACCAGCTTGAAGACCTCTAACGGCCAGCACAGGAACAGCAGAGAGAGGGAGGGGCAGTCAGAGGGAAAGGGAGGGAGGATTGGCAATGAGGAGGAAAGAGGAGGGAGGGAGGGGTTAGGAGGGAAGAGGGAAGGGTGTGGAGGGAGGGGTTAGGAGGGAAGAGGGAAGGGTGTGGAGGGAGGAGGGGGAGAAGGGAGGAGGGAAGGAGAGAGAGGAGGGGAGGGGAAAGCAAAGATGAGGGAAAGAGAAGGGAGGGGGAGGAGGGAAGAGGAGATATGGGAGGGGGAGGAGGGAAGTGGAGAAACGGAAGGAGGAGGAGGGAGGGGAGAAATGGGAGGGAGACGAGGGAGAGGAGAAATGGGAGGGGGAGGAGAGGAATGGGAGGGGGTAATGATGACTTGATTGACAGGTCACAAGTGTTAGCTGTGTGCGCATGCGCCACCCGGAGCCCAGCTTAGCGGACTGCAAGTCATTTGCAGGCAGCGACCGCTAGGGGGCGCGCGGCCCGCACCCAGAACGCCAGCGCGCAGCCACCTGCGGCGCCCCCGCCCGCGCCAAGTGCGCAGCTGCCAAGCGCAGGACTGGCGCAGGATGGGCAGGGGGCGCCCAACAGGTCCCAGGCTGGGCCGGGGGCTCGGCCCGCCACGCAGGCGGCCGCGCGCCCCAGACGCCTCGCCAGTGTCCACCTGCGGACCCCAGGCAGCCCCTCGCACGGCCCCAAGGGCTTCTGCGCCACCAGCCGCAGGACCGCCCGCATCAAGCACCATGACGAAGCTGAGACCCCCACCATGGGGTCCTCACGGTGCACACGCCACCGCCGACGCGTGAAAACGCACCACCGGCTCCGACCTCGGCAAATCCAATCAAACAGACATCAATCAAAATTGTAAAGACCCGTCGTCAATACATCGTTTTCGCCTATTTTTGTGGTCTCAGGACCCCCGATACAAGATACGACATCGCCAGAAAATACTACAAATGGGGGTCGCCCGACCCGCTCCTTCGCCCCCAGGCACCGACGTGCCATCCCCCCAAAATCTCGCCTCCCTCCGTCACCATAGCAACAGTCTCCAGGTCCCGCACTGGTGGCGCCCAATTAACCTCTCTATAGCCCCCTCCTCCTGCCGCAATGAGCCGACCTACCCGAGACCCCCAAATCAAAGACCCCCAAAAATAAACTCATCTGCGCCACGCTCCCCCACGACACCCTATGTCGCGTAGCCAGTGCGGACCCTGAGGCCGCTCCTCAGCGAACCCCAGGATCTCAACACACCTCCCCTAGGTAAACGAATCCAGAATCTTCCAGAAAACTCCTCACTCGACCCCCTCCAACAGGAGAACAAAGGCCACCTCCCCTCCCCACCCCGCCCCCCAAAATTCCGCAGTGCCGCCAGCGCCCTCTCGCGGCCAGCACAGGAACCTTCCAGAAACCTGCCACGTAGCAGCCCGCCTGCGCCCCCCCACCGCAAGCCCGCCAGCTCGGGCTGGGGAGGGGGTGGCCTGGGGGGGCTTGACAGGGACAAAGGAAATAGCCAGAGGCGACTTTGCCAAAAATCCAAAGCCCGCAACATGTCAGACTCTTCCAACGACTACTACGCAACAGTGAAAAGACCCCCGGCCCCCAATTCCCAGCGCCCAGCGCCTGGGCCCCCTCAACACACCCCCTTTTCTGCATTTCTCGCCCCCCCTCTTTCCAGACCCAAGGACGCAGGCTTCTCTCCACCCCACCAGCCCCCGCACCTCTTCTGCCCGGCCCCCAGGTCCTCTCCCCGAGCTTCGCAGGACCTGGTCCTGCGCCCCTCAGGGAGGTTTGCGCTTGGGCACACCTCCCTCCACCCTGGGGTGCGTGGTCAGCCGGGGGCGACCAGGTGACCTCGGATAGAAATTGTAATCCCCAAATTTTGACTGGAATCCGTTCTGCACCAAACCCACGTTTTAGGGTGCGGAACCCCTAGAAGAGAGGGGCCTCCGCTCCTCCCGCCCACTAGCACCTGGCTATAGACCTAAGGGGGAAACGGACCCTAAGACCCTGCTCTTGGGGTGCCTCCCCCCAATTCCTGGGGCACGCAGAGCGCGCCGCCGCCATGTCTCCCACTATTAACGGGATTCTAAGGGTTCGAACGCACAAACGCTGGGGTTTGGACCCCGCGACTGCGTCACGCCGGAACCCAACAGGGGTTGTCTCGGCCTCCTAGTCCTCCGCATTCGAGGCCCTACCGCGCATCCTACGCTCAAGGACTGGGCAAGAACGGGGCCCTGATCGCCCCCCGCCCCAGGAAAATGTGCCTGCAGATGTCCCTTCCTGACAGTGTCGTCGCCGATGTGCGGGGACCAGGCGAAGTGGCCGCCTTCGGGAGAAGGTCCACCGCATCGGCCTCTCGGCGCGTCCAGGAGGACAGCGCCCAGCCCAGAGGGGATGTCATCTTCCTTTTGCGCATCCTTTGCCGCAAGGATGGCCACCCACTCACCAGGCGCGCGGTCCTCGCGTGGGCGCCCCGGTTGTGGCGCGGCGCTGGCCGGGCCAGCGAGCCCAGGCGCGCTCGCCGCCTCTCTCCGCCGTCTGCGCCAGGGCCCGGCGGGGTGGGGTTTATATGCAGGCGCAGAAGGGGTGGTCTCTGACGTCAGCGCATTCTGCTGCAATGCGCTCATTTCTCTAAAAGCGATTGGCCGGAAAAATGAGCCCCCCAGATTCTATGACAAATTGCTCTAGCCGCACCCAGACTGCAGCAAAGAAGAGAGGAAAAAATTCTGCCGCAGTGCCCCTGGCCGCCATGACCAACACCCTGTGGTCGCGGGCGCCTTTCGCCGCAGGAGCCCTGCTCCCGGGCAGAGCCAGCTGTGCGCACGGTTTTGGGGGGAATCACCCCAAGGATGCTTGTCCTTAGGTGGGCGGAGGGCGAAGGTGGGGCGGCAGGGATGCGGGTCACACACCTGGTGATTTCGGATCATCCATCCGAGGATGCGGGCTTGGGGAGAGAAAATGACGTTTTATCTTATTGTTCGGGAAAATAAACACCCCAGGGGAGATAACTGGTTCCCAAGGGTCAGCGGGGGCTGTCACCCCCACTCTAGCCCACCCGCCCGTTTCCGATTGGCAACGGTGACACAGCACAGCATCTCTGAGTCAGAAAAGCCGGGTTCTGCGTCCCTGGCTCTGACGCTTACAATTCATGTACCCCAAACCCCGCAACGGCTCCTCTCTTGCAGGGGTCCGAGTCCTCGCCTTCACAAGGGGTACCCCTGTAACCAGGGGCGTCACAGCAATCTGGACAGGACCTGTGTCCCTGTAGGGAAAGTACTTTCCACAGGAGGACTGGGTCCCATGTGGAGGTGCCTGGGGTACCCCACAAAACGGGGGTGAGTTCCCGCAAATGCGGTTTGGGAGCGACACACACACACACACACGCACACGCACACGCACACGCCAGCCCAGGAAACAGGCAGCGACACATGTTACGGCGGAGCAGAGCCGGGCCTCGTACTCGGAGTTGGCACACGAGAGTTAATTCCTAACAGGTGGCGCCTTAGGCTGCGCTGCCCGGGACTGAGTGGCCGGGCGGGCCGGGCCGCCAGTCAGATGTCCTCTCAAAGGTCAAACGCTGCCGAAGGGACCAAGGCCCTACGTTCGGGCGAGGCGGGGGCCGTGGGGGCACAGGACGAGGTGCGGGGTGAGGCTGAGCCCGAGCCCACCAAGACGGCAGAAGCAGCCCTGCAGAGGGCTTCCGTCAGAGCAGCTGCCCCGCACCTGGGGGGCTCAGGCAGCTCCGAGCGCCCCCCGCCCGGTGCCCCAGACCCCGCGAGGGACTCGCGCGGGCGGGAGCCCCCGGGCTGCGGAGGAGGAGGGCTGCTGCCCAGCCCCGCTCTGCGGACCAGGCTCGTGGACACCCACCGCCGGGTCTCCGGAGGCGCGGGGCCCTGGGCGGGGGTGCGGGGGGCTCGTTTCTGCACGACAGGTGCACTGTTGGGGACCAGAAGGTTTGGGGCTTGGGGGGCATCGTGGGCAGCTGCCTACATGTGCCCGATAATGCGAGCGAGAAAGAAAACACCCCGCTTACAGCCTGTGGAGCCCGCCAGGAGCCCAGGAGACTAGGGCCCCAACGCGGGGCTGGCGACGCAGAGAGGCCCGCACCAGCCTCAGGCGTCAGGAACGCTTCAGAAAATCATGGCTCCGAGCGCCCGCGTCAACAGGAGAACATTTATTAGCCACGGTATTAATAGCTAGGAAACAGCCGGAGCCGGCCGGGGCCAATCAGCAGCCAGGAGCCCCTGTCGTCAGGGCCCCGCGGCCAATCAGGCGCCGGCAGGCCCGGTTGCTAGCCTCTCGGGGCAGAGGCGAGGGGCGAGCATTGTCACGGGGCTCTCGCTCACCCTCCGCGCGCGTGGGAACGGAGGCGGCCACCGGGGAGAATCGGTAGCTACGCGCTGGGGGGCCCTGGCGCCTGTCTCAGAGACAGTGGCTCCCCGCGTCGACCCTGCAGCCCCCAAAAGACATGAGCGGATGCTCCGGTGCGAGCCCCAGGCCTCAGTTGGGGTGCCCCTGGAGGCGCAGATGGAGAAACCTCCAGACACCCAATGTCCACCCATGAGGAAAGCCGGGCCTCCCAGGGCAAAGCCAGCCTCTCTTCCCTCTTCTGGGCGCCCTGGCTCCTAAGCCTGCTCCTTTGAGGTTCACGGTAAAAGCTCACTCGTCTATTTCAGGGCCTTGCTGACAGGCCAAGGTAAAGGACCCTGGAAATTAAGTTTCCTGCAAAAGCACCACGGGTTTGAATCCCTGCTCTGCTCCCTGCTAGCTGGGAGGCTGAGGTCCAGCCCCTTCCCCTCTCTGGGCCCCTATTTCCTCATCTGGAAAAAGCAAAGAGTTGGACAAGATGGTCCCCAAGGAGCCTTCCAGTCCTGCTTTGCTTGATTTGAATGTATACATCAGGCGAGTCAAATGTCTTCCAGAACATTCTGCATGACAGTAATTAGTATCAGGTGTATCCTGCAGTCCATGTGGTTACTTCATCATGCTGCTTTTCTTTCCATTGTATTTTATTTTAAACAGAACTCCATGGCAACATGTTTATCCTTCTGCTTCCTAGAAGAAAAGAGAAAGAGAGAGAGAGAGAGAGAGAGAGAGAGAGAGAGAAAGAGATGGTGGGAAAAAAGGCAAAAGGAGAAAGAAAAGACCACTGTAAACTAATCTCCACTGAGCATGGTTTAACCACAATAAAAAAAAATCCATATGCTTAAATGTTTTCATTGGCTTTTCTGGAGCTCAGAACTAACTTTTTAAATATTTATTGGTCCAAAGCAATGGAAGAAATTCTTGAAGGAGCCAAACCTATGGTAATATTTGGATAGGAACTGTTTCTCAATCTGAGCAATGCTGTACATGCTTTCCTTGATCAAAAAGGACATGTGAGGGCTCAGATTCATATCTACAGGGGAAAACAGACAAGGAAATCCAGGTTCGCGAAACGAAGCCCTTTCTCTCCATACATGCTGAAACCCAACTCTCCTCTAACCCTGGAGGCCAGCCAGGGTCCGTCCCAGGCACATGGCCTAGCTTGCTTCTTTTTCTTTTTCTTTTTCTTCTCTCTCTCTCTCTCTCTCTCTCTCTCTCTCTCTCTCCTCTCTCTCTCTTCTCTCTCCACATAGATCTAATTCAAAGCACACATTTTTCTTCTTTTTTCGATTCATACTTGGGAACCCTCAAAAGCCGTGTGAGCAGGCTCCTCTCCACATGTACATACTTATGGCAAGGGTACAAACGCCCTAAGATTCAGCCAGGAAATGAAGACAAAGTCTTCCTGTACCCATCTCCCAGGCAGGGGGAAATGCACTCTCTTCTGGAAAACCATACTGAGGGCTTTTAAAGAACAGCACACCTTGGGAGCCTGCCCCTTGAGACAGGTCTTCCCAGTTTTCCAGTTCCCCCTAAAATGTTAGTGTTCACCAGAGATCTTTGGGGCCCTCTTCTGCACCCCACATGGGTGGCTGCAGTGATGGCTGATGCTGCCTCAACTACTCCAAGAGCACACTTGCAGTCCTAACCTCTAATTCCAGCAGCAGCCTCTGGCGATTCAAATCCCCTCAAATCACATTTCCTGAACCCCCCTCCCATTCCACCATAGATCTCAGCCAAAGTCAGAAAAGCAGCAGAGGACATGGAGGTTCCATAAGACAGGTTTTTTTTTTTTTTTTTGGTGGCACAAGGGAAAGCCTGTCACTGGTCAGGTACAACCTCTTTGTCACCCATGAGATGCCAGACTGGGCACCAAGTAGTCAAGGATTTGCAGGAAATGATCAAACCAACACCAGTCCTATCTTCCTTCTGGGGTCTAGAAACTGACAGTGGCTCTTCTAGAAAGCAACCAACCTCAGCTCTCCAGTGTCTGGAGTGCTCTGCTCCCTCTGAAACCACAGTTCTGGGTGCAGCCCCAACACTTGTGTAGGGGAATTTGCCAAATTGTAGATACTAAAAGACAGAGTTCAGCACCTCTCGCAGAAGGCCAAGGATAAAGTTGCCTTCCCGGTAGACCGCTGGACTTCAGGACAGTGCACATACGTGTTTGAGTTAGCTAAACTTTCAGCCAGCAGCGCTGTGCAGTTGCAACCCAAGAGTAAATGGTCAACAATAAACTGTTGTCCTTTTCCTCATCTGACCCCAGGGAAGGGGGTGTGTGGCACGTGGGAGAGAGGGTGAGCATTGCTCTTCAGGCTACTTTCTTAACTAGGGCCAATGAAAGAGAGCTGGAAGGTAATACCCCAAAATGAGACCATTAGTTGTACTAGGTGAATAGATTCCGGGTGATTTTTCCTCTTTCTACTTTTATGAATTTGTCTATTGGCACGGATTACTGTTATAATGTGCATTTCTTTAAAAATGCAGCAGTCCCAAGACAAGCATGGTGACATGCTCATAGTCTCAGCCACTCAGGAGGATGAGGCAGGAGGGTGGCTCAAGCCCAGAAATGCAAGGCCAGCCACGTAACATAGCGAGAGACACTCTCTAAAAACAAATATGTTTTAAATGCTGCTGCAGTCCAAGAAGGTTGACCATTTTAGCCTCTTCCTTAATGACCTCAACTGTAAAATATTTTTCTCTTAAGTAAATAAAAATTCAGAGACTGGATTCATCTCCTGCACAGCATAAGGCGCCGTTCCTAGACATAGGTGTTCGTGCGTGGGCGTAGGTGTAGGGTGGGCAGGGGGTTGCCAGGAGCAGCCACGCAGCCGTGTCCAGCTTTTGGAAGGGCTCTCTTGAACCTGCCTCAGAGGTGAACGAATTCCAAGCTGGTGAAGAGTGAACTTTAATGGTTTTATCCCTGTAGGAAGGATCTAGAGAAATGCATTTACAAGGTAGGCCAAAAAATGGGGTCTTAAGGAAGCAGGCCACTGCCATGGGTTGGATTTGAGAAGTCACATCTTGACACTAGGAAAAGGGTGCCACATCGCCCCACCCACCCCACCCCCACCGGGCCCCCGGCTCTGGGCGTGATCCAGCCCCGGATTCAAGCAAGGGGTTTTCTTGGCCTAACTCCATGGAAATATTTCCTTCGGTGGAGCAAAGAACTGCTTCATTCAACTGCCC